GCTCATTGCATGACCTTCCCCTCTCGTACCCAAGTTCCTGAGCCGAGGCAACTTTGGTGATGACGACACGTGGCCTTTTGGCACCGAGTCAGGGTTTCCTAAATTTCCCAAAATAAAATATTTAGGTGGCGACTCTGTATCTGGCAAAGCAGTCCATGTTTGGCACTTCTTTCAAAAATCAGTTTTCCTAAAACGATTTGCCGGATTTGGACTCTTTGGTTCAGATTTAGAACCGTGACAACAAAAGTCGAGTCCGAGCTGTAGCGAGGTCCCCCGCGGGCTTGTTACAATAGGTTGTACGGTTTGAAGCCTTTTAGTCTTAACTTGTAGCCTTTGAACTAAAATGGGTTAGAAATGATTAAGTGGCTACTTATGGAGGACAACTGGGTACACTACAAAAAAATTGACTTTTTGCGACGGTAAAATACCGTCGCTAATACTCCTAATGCCGTCGCTAATACTTTTTGCGACGGCAAAACTACTTTTTGCGACGGCAAGAGGGGGGTCGCAACAGCAGGGGTTGCAAAAGAGTTTTTGCGACGGTAAGTGCCGTCGCTAATGTTTTGCGACGGCATTTTTGCCTTTTTGCGACGGCACCGTGCAGTCGCTAAAAACGTTTGAAATTTCTTGACTTTTTTGCGACGGCTCTATTTTACCGTCGCTAAAAATGTTATTTGAGACGGCAAAAAATACCGTCGCCAATAGTCTTATTTTTTTAAAAAAACACTACTTTTTGCGACGGTGTGGTGCCGTCGCAGAAAATATAAAAAATATGAAATTTTCTATTTTTTGCGACAGTGTAATGCCGTCGCAAAAAATATTAAAAAATAATAAAATTTCTATTTTAAATAATAAAATTTCTATTTTTTGCGACAGTATAATGTCGTCGCAAAAAGTAAAACCTGTAACAAAATTAATAAAAATATTAAAATTTTCTATTTTTTCCGACGGTGGTGCCGTCTCTCTCTAAGAGCTGATTATTTACATTCTATTCACAAAAACATCATAACAGAAAATAAAAATAAAAATTTAAATTGATCAAACCATCAAATTCAATATTTTACAAACACTACTAAAAAAAGTATTTTACAATCACTCAACTTTCGGAGCCAAACTCAGATATATAATCTTTAAAATTGCATCAGACAAATAGTTTCACTCAAATAAATAAATAGCTAGAGAAAAAAAATGAGCAAATGAAGAATCCACCTAAATCATAAATCGACATGGCTATAATTTTTCACCAACTTGTGAAGAATTCTAGATATACAAATCCAAAAGGTCTCTGGAATTTTTCGGCTAAAATGTATCAATAAGGCTGAAATGATGTCAAATGTAAATTTGTGAGCCTCGGGTTTCACTGTCATGCGGATTAGCATAGCAGTCCACACCTCCGGGGCCAACTTCACTGCATGCCGGAAAGATTTAAGCCCATTAACCACTCTCATCAGCATTGCATGTCCCTGCAAAACAACATTAATTCTCATAGTTGATCTCATGACAATATTACCAACTGAAATATGTTCAGTTCTGATTTTGTTTTTGTTTTTTCATTTTCATGTTTTCAAAAACAAGATAATAAAAAGTTCGAAAACACCTAACATTTTCATATAACACTTTAATTTTTGCATGAAAATAGTTTTTCGAAAACAACTTTTTTGGGTTTCCTAATTCATGTTTTGGCTTTCCTACTTCTTTTAAACCACATCAAAATGATGTTCTATTATCTATAAGTTGTAGAGTTTAACTAAAACATGCACCAGCACATGAGGGGGGAGAGAGAGAGAGATGGAGGAATTGAAACGAACCTCAGATTCAGCTGTCTCTCTAGCTTGAACCTTCTCATCGAAAATGTTTGCAACTACTTCATCCTGAAGAAAAATATCAATTGCTTTAATTATGTCCCGGACCAGGAAAACACGTACCCTCAAACCCTTATCAGACAATATGAATTAAAAAAGATCTTCGATGGCAGACACAACAGCATGCATATCAAAGGATTTCCATTCCAATGATCTATATAATATCTATAAACAAAAAAGTCATTTCCGGACACATCAAAAAAGTATGCAGATGACAAAAATAATTCAACAGTTTGAAACACTCCCATTTCTTAAAAGCAAACTGAGAGAAAGACTCCTAGCTATATATTGAATATCACTTCCATTAAGAAATAACACCTGGATCACTGATCACACCCAAGAAATCATCCTTTATGGTGCCAATACAAAACTGCAAAAGGAGACAACACGTAGGATGAACAACGGTGACCAAAAAAAAACATAACCCCGAAAATGTAATGAAAAATCTAGAAATCCCCTAGATTTTGATTTGTGATTATGTATCAATTTTAAGCAGAATATAATAATCCCAATCAAACAATTAAGACAAAGAGACACAATGATTTAATGTGGAAAAAATCACAATTGGACACCTCCAACTGTGATCAAAAAACCACGGGCAACAGCCACAAGAACAATCCACTAAGAAGATTTAAAGGAATTACACAGGTATACTCTCAATTACCTAGCGAATCCACAACGCCTAATTGAACCAACCTCTATGTGCCTCTTCCAACCCCATCTTCACCACGGAATTGTCTTTCTGATGAGCCACTCCGGATTCCACCAAAGCTTCAGGCTCGAACTCTTCAGAATCCACAACTAAAGAATAACTCTCTCTTTTGTGTATAACAAACAAACCTTTGATGTACTCTCTTTAGATCATGAGTTGAATACTCAATAAAAACATCAAAGCAAACTAGCAAAATCTCTCCAGATATAAACCTTAAGATCCAAAAATAAGATCTGGAGAAGTTCCCCTAGTGTTGGGAGAAAACCAACTATTTATAGAAAACCAAAGCAATCCTAATTTCAGAAGAAAACCAACTCATTAATCAAATCTGGAAATCTGGGATCGCGCGGTCCGCTCGAGCGCCCTTTTCCCCGCTCGAGCGGAGACTTCAAATTCTGTGATTTCATACAGGCTCCACGCTCGAGCGTCGGTTTTGCCGCTCGAGCGGCAAATCAAACCATCCAGTATTTTTTCAGGCGACTGCAGAGATGCTGAGAGCTTCCAATCCCCGCTCGAGCGTCCCTTTCCCTGCTCGAGCGGGAAGGCCAAAAATGGAAAAACTGGAAAAATATAACATGCTCGGACAGGCAACTTTGAATGCATTTTTGCATTTTGCTTCGGGGGCGCTGCCCCTCGACCTCGCCGTGGCGCTGCCCCGGACCCGCCAAGGGGCGCTGCCCCCTAGACCCCCGCGAGCTGACCGGGCAGCTCGATCCCCGTCATAATCAGCGAAGTGGCAATCTTGAAAGAATTAGCATCACAAACTTCTCTGAAAAGCACAATTCGGGTTGGATTCGCATTTAAACGCTCATAGCCTTACTGAAATAAAAGTGCGAATAAAATTACAACTCAAAGGAGTTTTGTCAAACGGGATTGCCAAGAAAAAAAAACTAACATGTAATAATAAATAAAATAAAATACAATGTATATTAAGAGCATACATATTTATGTGAACAATTATTAAATTCACTATTTAAGATTTAAAAGAATACTCTGAAGTTCTGAGAAACAGAATGCAACAGTGACCAAATTTGGTTACCAAATGTATCAATAATGGATTGCTATAACGTACAAGACATGAAAGTTATGACCCATTAAACTAATGCATTGGTGTCATATCAAATGATATCCAAAATTTGGTATCTAAATCTAGTCACTGTATTACTGTCCAAGAAATGGTTCCAAGGTCGGACCATGCCACATTCTAACTCTTGAACATGAAGAGAGTTCATTTTCCCAGCCCATAAACTCCAGAGAGAACCTGACTTCTTGAAGGTCAACAAGCACACAGAAAAGGATCCCCATATATGCCTCAAGTCTTTAGAAATGGATAATTCAAGGTATTGGCCTACATCCTAAATACTTCTCCTTGGGCTAAGCTTCATATTCCAAGTGACACATTCTCTCGGGCATTTTTCATGGATTTCTTATTCATTAATATTTATATGCTTGTACTTTGCAGCACCTCAAATTCAGAGCGTGTTGCATAAAGAATCCCCTTCTAGCCCCCAAACACACAAAATATTTAGTTTTGTGAACACTTATGATAGTTTTGTTCAGGAGATAGTGGATAAACGTCATCTAACCCATGCACAAAGCACAAGAAACACATTTTTGTGCTTGATGCAGTTACATCTGAGGTGCTTTGGAAATAATAAATTAATAATTATATTGATGCTTATGTGCATATGAAGAAATATCCAATTCAACAAGTATAGTGTCTTACTGTTTTGCTTATATATATACACTCACAATTTGTCTATATATATACATGGCTTTGACGACTCTGTTAATATACTCAGAGAGACTGACATTATGCGTTCCATCCTGAAAACTTCTTTTCATCCCAAATTTATCCCATAAGGAATTTAAATATATCTGGCATATTTAAGTTAAATATATCTGGCATATTTAAGTTAAATATATCTGGCATATTTAAATACATCCATCAGTTTCATAGATGAACCAAGATTTAAAACACAAAACAGAAATTATGTCATGTACACCTACCCTATGAGGTCTAAGAACCTTTAATTATTCAAGATACTACCCACTTTGCATCAAGGATAATTACGAATACATAAAACAAATTAATAGGACTTCAATCCTGAAGCAAATTAACACATAAAACAAATTAATACATAAATCCAGTCCAAGCACCTTCAATTATTCAAGATACTACTCACTTTGCGTCAAGGATAATTATTTAGAATTGAAGTCCTATTAATTTAGAATCTAAACAACCCATGTCTAGAAAAATGAGAACTCCAAGGCCAGAACTAGAGGATAAACAAATTATTTTCAAATTCAACATGCCACAAGGACAACCGCTTTTAGCCATTTAAAGACTATGACCCTTATATCAAAATTTCACTAGTACAACAACATTATCCTCAATTTACAGGGAAGAAAAGTATGCATTACCTGTGTGTCGTTTTTAACACTCATCATCAGAATAGAAAGATGCCCAGTGCTGGATTCCTCTTCCTCATTCTTGACCTGTCACAGACAGTTTCAAACAAATTTTATATCATAAAAGGAGCATGGAGGCAGAAACTACAGCAAATAAAAAATGTAAACAATAAATTGAAAACTCTATTTAGCAGGAAGATGAAAAATGATGGGTAGGTCAAATTACACACACACATATATATATAGCCCTCCACATGCAAAAATATATTGCAGTAATTAAAACAAAATGCTTCCTGCAAATAAAAAAATTAATCAGAAAACACATTCAATACACACTTCACAATAAAACATACATTGACACCCCATCCCCCCATTTCATTATTTTCTATAAACAAATCAAGTATTATTTAGTCAATAATTCATCAAATCAAAGGCAATATAAACCATATACTTTGGCAAAATCATGTTGCAGGCCTAGTTAAAATTGACCTTCAATTCAAACCTAGTTGAGCACACATTGGGTTCCCTAAAAAAGTGAAAAACAGAAAGTACAAAGAAGGGGATGACAGAAACATCTTCCTCAAAAACGCAAACACAACATATATCCAAACATAGGTAAGTAAAGCAACAAGCGTGATCAAGAATAGTAAACCGAAAAGAACCTTACACACACACACACACACACACACAAAAGTGGATAGTCATTATAAGAATTTCAAGGATATTCAAGATAAATTGATATAAATTGATTTGAACAATGCTTTGATAATTATGGAAAAGAGCACTTGACCATAGAAATGAGTGTTTATAGTAAGAAAAAAAAATGATTACTTTAGATGGAAAACATTAATATACGTTAGCACTATGCAAGAATTCAATCTTCTATAACCTCTAATTCTATATTGGGATGTACTGTTGTATTGCGTGAACTATGGTAGATGGACCGGATCCGCTTAGATATGCTTTTGGATAGAGAATGATCCTCCTAATAATAAAATTCAACAAAACACCAAAATAAATAAACAATAAGGTTTCTTTAATAGGAATACATACTAATATTTTAAGGTTAACAACTATACTAAAACTTGTAATAGATAAAGTTGTTGCAAGGTCAAACAAAGAATAGATAAACACCCCATATGTCCATATAGTCCAAACATTGTCATCTCATTTCAGCAATAAACTCATATACCTAAAATTCAAATATTTCACATGGTTGTTCAGTCTTAAACAGTGAACTCAATCCACTTCACATAATGAACTGCATTATCACAATCCCCTGTTCCTCCACATCACAAAGAACAAGCATTCCATGTCACACTCAAATTACCATACCAAATCAAAAAAAAAAATAAAAAAATAAAATTGATAATCTATACTATAGTATCTATACTATTAGCTTTTTATTTTTCCAATAATGCCTTTCCTGTATCGGTCAATTTCAATTACTGTTCTGCTAAATGATTTCTTTATTCATCAAATGGCCCCTCCATCATCAAAAATGTAAAATTACAAACAAATCGAGTTTGCACCCACTGCTAATAAGTAAAAAAGTAACACAAAAAATAAATAAATAAACAAAAATTACAAGACTTACCTTGCAACCTTCGATCCCGAATTGAAATAATTGAATCCCATTTGACTTGACAAACTCGACATTTGCCTCCGGGTACGGTTCTGGACAAAGGCATCTGCAAAACCAAAGCCCTATAATCATCAAATCTGTATATAATCAGCAAATTCAAATCATTCACTGACACATATCGGACCTGAAAATGCCATTGTTGACCATCGCGAAGTTCAGAGGAGGAATATAAAACCCGTCGTCGTCGGTGGGGTCGAAGTCGTCGAGGCTCGGCGGCGAGAGCTTCGTGAGAGGTTTGAGTTGTGGTGGTTCTACGACGGCGACTTCGATGGTTTTGCACATATCGCCGCCGCCTTGGAGGACTTCCTCAACGGTCATAACTGATTGAATTAAAGAGTAGAGTAGAGAGAGAGAGAGAAAGTGAGGGAGGCAGCAGCGGCAGTAAGGTGAAACCCTAGATGGAGAGAGAGAGAGAGAGAGCGAGCAGGAGGAGAGGGACGGCTCTGTTGTGTTTGGGTTGTGTTTGTGTTTGTGTTGTGTGTGTTCTCAAACAAAACCCTACACACACCCACACACCCACACAAATGTTATAGTTAATGAATTTTTTATTAAAATAAAAAATTATTAAAATAATTTTTATTTTTAATAATTTTTATAGTTGATGAATATTTTTTTTTCATTTGGTAAAGTTAAAAATTTATTTGTTTTATATTTATTTTATATTTATTTTAATGAATAAAAAATAATTATTATTTTTTTATTTGGTAAAAATAGGAATAATATTTTCCATTAAAATAAAGTTAATTTTTGTGGTCAATGAAAAAGAGAGAAGATAGATGAGAGAAGAGATAAATGAATGAGAGACACACAGAGAGAGAGAAAGTCAAATAGACAGAGAGAGAGAGAAGAGTGATGAATAAGAGAGAGAAAGAAAAGAGAGAGAAGAAGATGAAAAAATGGGTGAAAAGAAATAGACAAAGAGAGAGACAGAGAGATCGTTTGTAGTGGATCGATAAATCGAGAAGGAGCTCGATAAATAAGAGAGAGACAGAAAGAGATGAGCGAGAGAGCGAGAGAGAAAAAAATAAGAGAGAGAGAAGAGAGACAGAGAGAGAAGATATATGAAAGAGATAGAGAGAAGAGAGATAAACGAGAGACATAGAGAAAAAGAGAGAGATAGACAGACAGATAGAGAAGAGTGATGAGTCAGAGTGAGAAAAAGAAGAGAGACAGAAACAGAGAGAAAGAGAGAGATGGACAGAAAGAGAAGAGTGATGAGAGAGAGAGAGAAAAAAGACAGAGACACATAGAGAAAGGGAGAGAGAGACAAACAGAGAATAGTGATGAATAAGAGAGAGAAAGAGAAGAGAGACAGAGAGATAGGAAGATGAAAAAATGGGTGAAAAGAGAAATGTTCAAAAGAGTAAGACGACATCGTTTGTAGTGGATCGATAAATCGAGAAGGAGCTCGATAAATAGAGAAGATGAGAGTAATAAAGTGAGTAAGGCGAACATAGTGAGGGAGAGATAGACAAATAGACAAGTAGACAGAGAGAGAGAGAGAAAGAGAAGAGTGATGAGTGAGAGAGAGACAGTGAAAGAGAGAGATAGACAGAAAAAGAGATAGGGAGAGAGATGGAGAGAGGGAGAGATAGAAAAAAAGAGAGAAACAAGAGATGAACGAGAGATAGACAAAAAAAAGAGAGAAATAGAGCGAAAAGAGATGAGCGAGAGAGAGACACAGAAAAAGAGAGAGACAGAGAGAGAAGAGAAATGAGCGAGAGAGATAGAAAGATAAGAGAGAGAGAAAAGAAATGAGAGAGATAGAGAGAAGAGAGATGAACGAAAGAGACAGAGAGAGAAAAGAGATGAACGAGAGAGATAGAGAGAAGAGAGATGAACGAAAGAGACAGAGAGAGAAAAGAGATGAACGAGAGAGATAGAGAGAAGAGAGATGAACGAAAGAGACAGAGAGAGAAAAGAGATGAACGAGAGAGATAGAGAGAAGAGAGATGAACGAAAGAGACAGAGAGAGAAAAGAGATGAACGAGAGAGATAGAGAGAAGAGAGATGAACGAAAGAGACAGAGAGAGAAAAGAGATGAACGAGAGAGATAGAGAGAAGAGAGATGAACGAAAGAGACAGACGGAATAGTCTCGAAACATGAATTTTGGGACCCGAAATGGCCTATGGCTATACCAAACATGCACAATATGGACATGCAATGAAAATACAGAAGCAAGGAAGCCCCGAAATAAGCATTTTTCCAGTACAAATCATGGCCAAATAGTAAGCAAAGATAGGGCAACAATGGCATGCAAAAATGGCCCTAACCATGAGATTATGAAGCAACTCACAGCTGCTGACTCCAAATAGGTTAGGGCCCTTCAACAACATTGAAGAGGGGCCAAAAATAAGACATTTTACAGAACTGTAAAAACCTCAAAAACAAACACAAGTATGGCTGCACTCCCATGCAAGAAAAAGGGCCAAAAGGTGGCCAAAGAGGCAAGTGGTATATGCACAGCCCAAATTGAAAAATTCCCTTCTACAACATTGAAGAGGGACAAAAAATAAGCATATTTATAGAACTATAAAAACTCCAAAACAGTATACAAACATGCTAGAAATGCAATGCAAAAATGAGGCTCAAAAGAGGCTATAACACAAAGTATGCAAAATATTCATCAAACAGCTAAAGACCCTTAATGAAACATATTAAGAAGGTCAAAATAAGACTATTTATAGGCCTGTAAAAAGACCAAAAACAGAATCATAATAGGCTGCCAAAGCATGCAAGAAAATAGCATTCAAGGGAGATATTGAAGCAAGTGAAAGATGGGGGGCTCAAACAGGGTTGAGCCCTTAATAAAAAGTGAAAAAGAGCTCAAAATAAGGCCACTTTAAGTTAGGGCAGGAGCTCAAAGCAATAAGCATGTATGGCTAAGAAATGTTGCAAAATTAAGCTCAAAAGAGGGGAAATAGGACTTACCTTTGAAGACAAGTCTTGGATGCTTCTTGGCTTGAGTTTTCAGCACCCTTAGGCCTTGGAGAACACCTCCTTGCTGCTTGAAATGGAGTGGTGGTGGTGGAGCTTGAAGATGATGAAGAAAATGGAGTGGAACTTAGGAGTTTTTTAGAAAAATGAGAGAGATAGAGGGAGATTTGGATGCTTATGCTTGAAACAATTTTTTTCTAACCCTCAATACCAATGTTTGCAGCTGATTATAAGGACCAAAAGGAGGGGGAGCATGGAAGGAAAGGGTGGGGGAAAAGGACCAAGGCTTTTCCCCACAAAATATCCCCCGGATTGAGATCTTTTCTGGGGGAAACAGCTATACAGCTGTAAAGTGCCTCTTGAGAGGATCATGGCCGGCCACCTTTTGGACTTGCAGGTGGCCGGCCGGCCACCTCCCCTAGCCGGCCAGCTAGGGGTCAAAAGGGTCAACTTGATTTAGTGGTCGGCCACCACAAAAAGGTGGCCTCCCAGGTCTCCTCTTCACAACCCTGTGGTTCGAATTTGGAAACTCAAACAGGAGAGAGAACAAGCCATTTTGAGGAGGGGTTCAAAAGGTTCAAATGGAATTAATGGCCGGCCATAAACTTTTAGGGTCCTCCCATGTGTGTACATCACAAATATGTGATTTGGGGTTGAAGAAAATGGCTCCAAGGTGTTCAACATTGGCTCGGAAGTGAGAAAAACGGGTGTCGGAGGGCGAAAATGGAATATAACTGGTTGCCAAGATAATTGCTGGCCTCCCACCCTCCAATGACCTTCCTGGTGATGAAACAGAGGCATCTGCCAAAAATGAACGAAAACCGATGCAAAACGAATGCTCGGGGGCCGAAACACGCAGTTCGGGGTCCCGAAAATTGCCTGTTAAGCACTGAAAGTGGCGTTCGGCCACGAAGTGGGTTTCTCAGACCCCAGTATCCCTCAAAAGGGAGTAAAAAGGAAGCATGCCAAAAATCAGAACAAACGGAGATGGTTAGGCGGTCCCGAACCGAGGCACACGGCCAACGGTCCCGAAAAAACACGTTAAAATCTTAACAACCACCCATTATATGATTATCATCCAAACATATAATAAAAATTAATTTGGTAAAAAAAATAAATAAATGTTTAAAAGATTTATCAATTTTACATAATTTTATCTTTGATGGGTAGAAATAATTTTTTAAATTTTTTTTGACATTTATTTTTGTCAAACTAATTTATATTTTATCAAATTAACGATTTTTCTGTTGAAATTAAGTAATTATATACTCAATTGTCCTTATTTAGAACAAAATTTAAAATATAGGGCCAAATGTGTCACAATTGAAAAATCATGGACCAAAGTGACACGAGTCCCAAACTATAAGGATTGTTAGTGTAATTCTCCCTAAACAAATCATCTCCTTTTTATAAAAAAAAAAAAAGTAAATAAATAAAGTAAAATAGTGTCCATATTTTTTACACTAATGATGATTAAAAAACAAAAAATAATTACTTTTTAAAATTTTCTGTGACTACTTCTATATTGACATACATAATATTTACAATTATCCATCACTGATCAAATCGCTGTGAATAATTTTGGTTGAATCTTAAAGTGGTACGTATTCGTTCAAATCTAGACAGAGAAAAACGTATGCAATTTTAAAATAGAGATTTGTGGTGCATTTAAAAAATTCACAAGTTATATTCATACAATTTCTTTTTATTTAAATTATATTTTATGAACTATAATATTTTACATGGTATTTTAATAACCAATGTATGATATCAAAATTCTAAATAAGAACCACTTTTGTTGGTTTTACTTTTTAAATTTGTTTTTCAGTTTTTGATTTTTCATATTTTCTCAATTTTGGTTATTAAAAATACTAAAATTTTTAATATTTTATATTTAAATTATACTTTTACGTGAAAATTTAAAATCTAATAATCTAAATAGAATTAAAAAGTAAAATATTAGTAAAAAAATTTTTAAATTCAAACATGTACTGATGTTTTATTATTATATTTTTTTGTTATTATTATTATTATTGTTGTTGTTGTTGTTGTTGTTAATAGTTTTTTTCAAAAAGAATACACAACAAATTATTTTCTAAGTGTGTTTCGATTAAGTGAATCTAAATCTGAAATTAAAATTAAAAAATAAAAAGTATTAAATTAAGTGAAACTAAAATGAAAATAAAAAGGGTTATTAAAAAAAATAGTGTCAAAGATAAAAAAACATGAAAACCGAAAAACTCAAAATAAAAGTTTGAAAAAAGAAATCAAACCAAACCAGACACTATAAACTTCTTCTTTTTTAAATTTTTCTTAACTCACTACAAGAAAATGGGGCTTAAAAGACGGAACTATTTGCGACGGTACACTTGCCGTCGCAAAAAGTGACTTTTTGCGACGGTAAAAAATACCGTCTCAAAAAACAGAGTATTTCCGAGGGTAAAAAATGCCGTCTCAAAAAACAGAGTATTTGCGACGGTAAAAAATACCGTCTCAAAAAATAGAGTATTTGCGACGGTAGAAAAATACCGTCTCAAAATACTCTGTTTTTTGAGACGGTATTTTTTACCGTCGCAAAAAGTGACTTTTTGCGACGGCAAGTGTACCGTCGCAAATAGTTCCGTCTTTTAAGCCCCATTTTCTTGTAGTGCTTCTTTATTTTTTTACACATCATTTCATAAAAATTTAAAAAATATACTTATTTAAATCATTCCAAACACCCTCTAAATTTAAATATACATTGTACATTCAAATTCTAAACCCATTTTAGAATTTTTTTTACGCCATACAATTGAATTCTGAATAATTTCTTAGATGAATTTTTATCCTTTTCTAACTAATAGCATTTTTTAGTCAAATGCTATTATTTTTGGGGTTTTTTTTAGGGTTGGGTTTCTCCTATATTGGGATGAGAGAATTTGAGAGGTTTATAGGGCCCATCACGAGTCCCGTTTCGATAATTTTAACTGTTCATTTTGTAGGGTCCTCAATGTATAATATCCATACAAAAAATTAGTTTGATCTAATAATCATAACTTTGTCGTTTTATTGCATTTGTCTCCAAAAAAATTGACAACAAACATATTTTTAAAATAGACCATCCATTTATTTAAAGACAAATGCTATAAAATGAAAATATTATAATTATTAGATTGACCCAAATTTTTTTATGAAAATTATACATTTAAAGCCCTACAAAACAGTTTGGGGAGGCTGCTACGCACCATGTGCAACAGTGACTATTGCGTAGTTAATGGAGCCTTTTTCGGATTTTATTTCGACGATCCGAACCGTTCAATTTTTAGAAGATACTGAGTAAAATATACATGCAAAAATTCAAGTTAATCGGATTTCGGTATCCCTTATCTCATGACATGTTTGTATTCATATTTATACTTAAAATTAAATTTATCATTCAATTTTTTAGATACAAATATGTCTGAATGAAAAGGATACCGATTTCCGATTAAATTGAATTTTTACCGGTATATTCTACTCAATGTCTTTGAAAAAAGTGAACTGTTTGGATAGTTGGAATGAAGGTCAAAAAAGGCTCCATTAACCGTGCAATAGTATCTGCTGCGCATGGTGTGCAGTAGTCTCCCCAATTCCTTTATAAAATAAACTAGTTCAAATTATCAAAATGAGACTCATGATAGGTCCTATAAATCCCTCAAGTACTCTTATATTAATATCTCACCATAAAAGAAGCCCAAATTTACTTTTATTTATTTTTATTATTTTTATGTTCCATGAACTTAAGATCCTATTTTCTAGGTTGAAAGAGCATGATTTGCATTTATGGCAGAAAAATGGGACCGTCAACCAATCGCACAACAAAAAGAATCTCACGACAAAAGCAAATAGATAACAATAACAAATAGAGGTTGCATTCCACCAACTCCATCTCCATTCATATCTTTTAGAAAAGCACCACAACATGGAATTTTACACCAACATGCCCAAATTAAAATTGAGAGAAAAACAAAAACAAAAAACAAAGGAAATCTTTTTTTTTTTTTTGGGATTTTATTTTGTGGGTTATGCTTTCTGATAATGCAAAAGTGAATTAAACACGAGAATTTCTCAACCAAATTAGAAGTCACCAGAAAGAGGTGCATGTTGATGTTGCATGAATACATTTGGATAGATGAGTCCGGCCAACCCGCCTCCAATGAGGGGTCCAACCCAATAGATCCAGTTATCGTGGAAGTCACCGCTAACGACTGCTGGCCCAAAAGAGCGGGCCGGGTTCATTGACCCACCGGAGAACGGGCCAGCAGCCAAGATGTTGGCACCAACAATGAAACCAATGGCAATGGGTGCAATTGTGCCCAGTGAACCCTTCTTGGGGTCAGCTGCTGTGGCATACACTGTGTATACCAAAGCAAAGGTGATAATCATCTCCATGACCACACCTTGAACAGCTCCGACACCGGCCGCCACGCTGTGGGTCGGAATTGCCTGAAAAAAAATGTCACCCAAAATGAACATACATAAATGCTTTTCTTATGTATAAAGTTCATAAGATCATATAGACCACTAATTTACCCGCCCACCAATTAATGTTTACAAAACTCAAAAAATAAAAATAAAAAAAAGTTCATTTTTGTTTTTAATGAACTTTCTAAATATTTTTTAGATCCTGAAAATTAAAAGAAATTAAAAAATTTTGAAAAAAAATCAATAAAAATGAAAATAGGACAACTTGTTTAAGTTTTTTTTATTTTTTAATATAAAATTGGCTTTGGATTTTTATTAAATTTTCTAGGTTGTCTAATCAAGGCGAATTTAAATTTTTTTTTTTATTTACATAATTTTGAAAAAAATTTACTAACAATAAAAATAAACTGAACTAAATAAGTCAAAAAAATTAACTCTCAAAGGAAATTTTGATTGGTCACAATTATTAATGTTTCTCTTTCAAAACTGGATCAACAAAAATATTAGTCACATGATGGTTAGAGCGCTGCTTTAACCATAAATGTTGACACGACGGACAAAGGAAAGCAAGTAAACATTGCTCCATACTATTTGAATAATTTTCCTTCTTAATATAGGGCATTGGAAGACAATTGCAAGGCACTGGTAAATGTATCCAATTTGTTCAAAAATAGCATAGGAGACCAAGAAAAAAAAAAAGAAGAAAAAAACCGTTAATTTTAGGTTTGTGAGTGAGTCTTGAGACTTACCAAGCCTCCAGTGACAAATTTGAGTAGGTAACATGCCACAATGGAACCAACAAGTTGTGCAATCCAGTAAAAGATGCCGGTGAGGACGGTGATTTGTCCGCCAAGAGCCAATCCGAAGGTGACAGCTGGATTTACGTGGCCACCGGAAATGTTGGCCCCAACGGAGACTGCAACAAAGAGAGCAAATCCATGGCATATAGCAACGGCTACTAGCCCCGATGGATCAAGGGCTGCATCCGATGTCACCTTGTCTGCATAACATAAAATTTATCATAAACAACATTTATTTTCTCTCTGCATGGGATGACTTTCATAAAAATATAATGCACTGCAATTTGATTATGTTTTGAAATTCTTGTGTCTCGTGATTTTACATGATTCTAATGCTAAAAGTGCATTAAGATATGAGAAGGGAGAAATTTAGAAACAAAAGACACTTAGCCACAAAGATTGATCTTTATTTTCTTGGTAAGTGCTAAATTCCCTTGTTCTTTTGCTATTAAAGAACTTCTAACTAAATGGATCATGTGTAACATGAAAATCTCAAGATATGATTAAAAAGCTATTGTTCTGTTTATTTTGATAGTAAACATTATTTTCAATACAAAAAATATTTTAAAAAATATATTTTTAATATTTTGTTGCGACATAAAATTAATATGCTAATTATTATATTTAGTGATGGCAATGGTAAGTGAGATGGAAGTGACACATTAGTGGTTTTGTATCACTGTAGTTTTTGAAAAAATCACACAGCAAAAAAAGTTTATTTATTTATTTTTTTTGGTGGAAACAAAATGAAGGAGAGTATGAGTGCATTGGAACAGAGGATCAAAGCCTGTAGAATGCATGGGAATTATTTGATGTTACATGTGAATTGATAGAGCCCTTTAATAATTAAGAAATACTGTGAATTACCATAAGCTATAGCAGAACCAACTCCAGCGAAAACAAAGAGGAGGGTTGAGATGAACTCAGCAACATAGGACTTAATAGACCCCATGCTAAATGAGTCATCAAATCTCCCAATAGCAATGGCTGGCATTTTTGTAATTAAGAAGAAGAACTCAAAGAGAACACTTGAAGATGGAGAGAGAGAGAGAGAGAGAGAGAGAGAGAGAGAGAGAGAGAGTGCTTTCTGATAATGCAAAATAGCCTTTCAAGGACACATATATATACATGGAATATCCGAATATGATGAACAGTTAAATTAATTAATTCATTTTTAGCTACATAGGAAGATAGAATTTAATCGGCTCACGAGAGTCTTATTGTGTACTTTTTTTTGCAAGACAAAAAGCTTAGCAGTGCCGAATATCATTCGACATTATTTTTGTGGTGTTTTAAATCAATTATATAATAAAAATTGAATATTCTGACTCGTTTTTATTAAGTAATTAAGGGATAATTGATAATTTATTAGATTGTGTTTAGATCATAAATTTTAATAGAGATTCTGGAACGAAAAAAAAAAAAAGTAAAATGTAATTATATTTCATTTACATTTTACCTATATTTTCTTATTCTTATTTTAAATTTCTACTCAAATTAATGATATAAACACAGCCATAATGTATGTTATTGTTTCTCATTCGTCAAGAATATTGCGTAGACATTGTAATGAGTATCTAATAGGAGGTGGCTTCCATTGGATGTGGACTGAAGGGTTAGTGCTTTGCAAGCCTAATTTAGGTCCATTATGATGATCTTAATTAAATTTTAGTGTGGCCAAAATAGATCATTTATATAAAAATTAAGTTAACAAGATATGATATCAATAATCACATATTAATTCCTTATTTTATTTTTTATTATCTTAAAATATTATTTTCTTATCAAAAATGAAAGACTAAAATAATATGAATTTTCTATTTTGTCATTTTTTAAAATTAATTAACAACACAAAAAGTATAATTATGATAATTGATATTTTGTTAAAAAATATACTATTAAAGAGTAATTTTAAAAAATTAATATTTTTAAAATTTAATAATTATATTATATAAAATAAAAAAAGTTAAACTCCCTATAAAGAAGAGTAAGGATCCTCTAGAATTTTTTTTTCCTAAAATTTTCTAGAGTGGTGTGTTGTATGGTTGAGATTTAATGACAAGTCACATCAATTTTTTAGCATTAAATCTCATCCATACAACACACTACTTTAGGAAATTTTAAGAAAAAAAAATTCTAGAGGATGCTTGGTGTATAAAGACTATTATCTTAAAAGGAAAGGAGGATAATTTTTCATGTAAGCAATATATATCCATGCATGTCCAATCGAGTATGTTCGACCGTCCTGGCTGTCACAGACTTGCTTTATTAGAACTGTCGCGAAGCTCATCAATGATTCATCCCCCATGTGAACCGAAAAACACTGAGACAAAGGTGTTTTGATAAGGGAAAATGACTATGAGAGAAATAATGATAAAAGAATGAAGGCAAGAGAAGATGATGGGGGCATGACTTGCTTTGGTCCACAAAGTGCACCGACCATTTCCCAATTGCCACCCATTCTTATTGTGGGCTTTTTGAAAAATCCGATTTTCAGTTTTTAATTTATTTTGAGTTATTATTTTTTATATAATTTTTAAAAAGGAATTAATAAAAATTAAAAATTAATTTTTAATCATCTTTTCGTGTGACTAGAATTAGATCAACTCATTATAATAAAATATGAAGTGGTTAGTGGGTGTGCTCTCAAGATAATTACTCAGGGTTCAATTCTTGATGCCAGGCCGTAAGAAAATAATTTTTTGTGCTTTTGACCGGATTTAAAAGGAGATTAGACGAAGTACGTGTAAACTGACTTAGAAATCCCTAATTGTTGAATCAAAAAAATATATAAATATTAAAAATATTAGTTTGGTATTTTATTTTTATTTTTTAATATATGGGTTAATTTAGGAATAATAGCTGGCTGGATAGGGATGGATAGTGAGGAATCTTTAGACCTTTTTGTCTTGCTGGATGAATTATTTGAAAAATTTTACCCATTAAAGCATATGGGTTTTTGTATTTGTTTCTTTATCAGTCTATTTTTATTCAAATTATTTGTGTGGGAGTGTATTTGTTTATCAACAATGATTCATCCCACTAAAAATATCACCATTAATAGCACTAATGCATTAAAAAAATTTTAAAAAATACAACTCCAAGATCAAAACATCACATCATTAATGGCGGGACCCACTGCCACCTAATTAGTGGGAGCACTAATTAGTGCTCCCAAGCATTTTTCTTTGTTTATTTGAAAGGTTTATGGCTTTGCTAAATGCATAAAAGAGACACAGGGTGTCTGAGGTTTTAAGTTTCACCAATGTTAGAGAGTTCGAAAAAAAGTTATTAAAAAATGAGATAAGTAGATCAGATTCAACTATATATCTAAAATGGGAGCTTTTTTGATAAATTCATTTTCTAAGAGTTTTATTTCATCCAACCCATATTCTTTTTGACTATTCCATTAGGTCCAATGTGAGATAAGAAGACCAAAATACCCTTTTCATCTACTTATGTTCCATTTAGTTCACATTATTTTCTTATGTTTCAATAAGTCCTATGGGTGACATAATTACCAAAATACCCTCAATGTAAATGTTCACACCGTCAATATAAATGTTTATATCGTCAATGTGTAGGGGCCCGGCTCATGTCGATCCTCGTGGGTGCCCGAAAAAATTCGAGTCGGGCCGGGCTGGCCCACAAGCCAAAAAAATAGGCCCAACTCGGCCCGTTGATAATATGAATATTCACATTGACAAGTTAACATTCACATTGATAGGAGTGTAAAATTGGCCTGCGGCCCGAAACCAGCCCGTTTGGGCCCGAGCCCAGCCCGAGAACTTGGGCTAGGACCTAGGCCATCACTTTGAAACTCGGTCCGCATAAGGCCCATTTAAGGCTTGGCCCGAGGCCCGGTCCGCCAGAGGACCGGTGTCTTTTTTGTGGAAAATAATAAAATTTTGGGAGAAAAAATTAAAAAGAATTAAAAAAAATGGCGAGGCTCACCCAAGCCAGACCCAAGCCCAAGTCTAGGCCCAAGCCCCTTGGCTTGACCCACCGGGGCACCCAAAGCCTGAATACCTTTGTGCCAGGGCTAGGGCCTAGGCCTAATTTTTTGGCCCGTGGGCCGGCCCGGCCCGACTCGAAT